GTATTTCTTACGAACTTCTTTAGGTGTGCGCTGTTGCTGCACAACCTGGGCACACGAAGGATCTGCAGACAATCCAGCTAGAGCGGGGGCTGCGCATCCTCGACTCTCCCGGCGTCGTCTTCGATGATGATGATTTCGATGACGGGAAGAGTAAGGCGAGAAGCAATGTCCTCTTGAGGAATGTCATAAAAGTGGAAGATCTGGACGATCCTATTGAACTAGGTAGGCCTTGGAGTCCCAGAATGTACCCTCGAGGTAAGATTAAGATGATCTTTTGTGCAGTGGAGGAGATTGTGAGTCGAACGGACTCCGAAATGCTGAAAAAGATCTACAATCTCCCGCAAATTGGGTCGACGCTCGAATTCTTGACAATGCTGGCACTAACCACTGGCCGCCTGTTGAAGGTACGTCACAATAAGGCATACATCTATGTATGCGCTCAAGTTCGCATCTACCAGGGCGGTACACCCGACATTCTCGCCGCCGCGCGACACGTGCTCATGGACTGGAACCACCAGAAAATTCCCTACTTCTCTGTGCCGCCTACCATCCATCCATCATCCGTCCCGTCAACTGTGCCGGGAACGGGTGCGCAGATAGTCGCCCCTGGCGCGGAGAATGTCGGGCAGGCACAGATCTTGAACGAGTTCTCGAAACCGTTCACGCTCGAGGGACTCTTCGGCGTCGCAGATGCTGGCGCCTTTGGCGGTAATTCCGGTCCCGACGCGATGGTACTGGAACCCGAGGACGATGGTGTGAATGGAATGGATGAGGACGTGTGAGTCATCTTCATAGGAGATACACTTAGCAGGTCATCTCCTGCATCATGTTGCTGTTTCGATGATCCCATCTACCAATTAATCGCTTCCCCTATACCATGTCCTATCTCATCTCAGGTGTTACCCAGCTGTCGACTGACATCGGTTCATCCAACAGCACCCCAATGGAGTCAGATGACCTCTCCCCACAAAATCCGCGCAAGCGCTCTCGGTCGCCGTCCATTGTATCTTCCATCACCCCAGTTGCATCGCTTTCCGGACCCACTCAAGCAATGCAAGAGTCCTCCGGACGAACACCGAAACGTCTTCGTCGCTCGCACGATATCCCCGCATACGACGCGCCAGTCGAAGAGCACGCGCGGCGCACGATGTCCAGCACGAACCCGCTCGGCAGGCGGCTGCTCAAACGGGAGGCGAAGAAGGCACGGCGCGCCGCTACGCGAGCGCTAGATGCGCAGAGGCAGACAGTACTTGGAGGGATGGACGTGGACGACGATGGTGGTCTGGCAGCGACCTTCATGGGCACGACTCCTGTCGCTTTCGACGTGTAATCTCTGGTCGGTGTATTCTTCACGGTTTCATTATGTCTCCGACGCAGTTGCGGCCATAAGGGAATGGTCCTACTATTCACTGTGACGACCAGAACACGACCAGCACGTATTGAATATCGACGAGGCAGGCCCTTGTGTGAGCGGCGGAAGAGTGTGGACTGAACGGTACTGAACTAGCTGTTTTCCGTGCTCTCCGTTGTTCATACCACAAGATCCGCTCATGTTTCACTGGATCGACCGTTATCGTAGACGCTAACGTTCCTGCGACGCGAATGAATCTTGGATACGCAGGCATTCATTTCGAACATTCATTTGTAGTACAGCTTTCCATGCAACATCGTCCACCCCGCCTCAAGCAATGAGGATCTGCACACGGAAGACATTCTTGTCCTGCGCAGTGTACCTCACGGTGAGCTTCCTGCCCGTCGCACTCGTCCTCTCGATCAAAACTGCCTGCTCCTCGCGTATCGCCGAGCGCTCAGGCCCGTAGTACTGCGGGTGCACTTTCAAGCTCGTGTCTTCGATCGTGAGGTCGGGCACGATGTCGCACCAGGGCTTGTAGTTGTGGATCCCGACGGCGACGAAGATTACCTCAGAGCGGTCGCTGCTGATGAGGCGGATGCCGCCACACGTGCCGCTGCCGCCCATGGTGAGCGTCTGCAGGCCGTTGGTGTCCGACCACGTCCCGCCGTTGGCGAAGTGCCAGACGGTCTTCTCGGAGAGGAAGAACCGGCCCTGGGTGGTGTCGGTCGTGCGCACGAGGATGGTGTACGACATTGCTGCGATGCATCGAGGAGCCGTCAGGATCACACTAAACAGCTGTATGGAGTAGAACAACGACAGACCTGGTAGATGGTAGGAAATCGAGGTGCAAGAGTAAATTTGTCGAGGATGAACGAACTGGAGTGAAGGCAAGTAGGTGAGTGCCTGCACTAACAGGTGCTACAGCGAATTGACAATGTGTTCACCTCTGGGATTGCAGTCGAAACTGAGTAGAGATGACTTCCTTGAGGGTACTTATACTGTTGTAGTAAAGTCACGGGCCGCACAGTGGTAAATTAGGAACGTCCGCAGGACGTCACTCGTAGCTACTTGGTTGCCTGTTTCGCAGATACCTTCTGTAAATCAATGTGTGAGACCCAACTGATTGCTCGCATAAATCATTCAAGCCGCCTTCAGGAGATTCCATGGCATCGGAGGTCTTCCGTGCATTGGCTAGGCAGACAGGACAACACGAGGAGTTGGAGGGGGATAGTCAATTGCCTGAACCTGACACCTTCGATTGAACAGTGCAATGCTTCGCGAATTCAGCGAAGGGAGATGTTTTGGTACCGAGAGCTTCCGAAGTTCGCCGATGTCGCGGTGACATCGCAGTTATAGAAACACAGCGAGCCGTATGTTGTCCAGCCTGTCAGAGCAAGCAGGTTCGTCGTGGAGTAAGGAAATCCATTCCACTGACCAGCGACGAAGTCGCGTTGTCCTGTGATCGTCGCTTGTAGAAGAGCCCTCGGAGGGCCCAGTTGTGATATTCCGCGTAGAAATATATGCCTTCCTGCATCTTCGATGCCCACTTTCCGCTGTCGTATTCATTATTTTCTCTCACGTCCTGCTCTAGATAGTCCCATGAACAGCGAGCATCATAACTGATGTCCATAGCAAGCATCAGCGCGACAGCTGTACAAAATCGGACGTACACACCTATCGATCAATGTTTGTTTCCCGCGCACTATGGACGAGCGAGAGTTTCGCCACAATTTACCTCCAAATTGTAGGGGTATTAGTACTAGGAGATCAACAAAGAAAACCAGGGATGCACAAGTTGAATGCTCCGATTATCCCTTGCTGCGGAAAACACCTCGCTGATTTGTTGAACTATGTCTGCATGCCCATCAGGGAGACGTCATGTATGTAGCGGTATTGTGGCGATTCATCGATTTTTTGCGCAGTATCAGGGGGTGGTCGGGTATTGAGCAGCGTTAGTGAAACCCTAGGATGAACCCTGCTCTCACCGGAATCAAGAGCGCATGACCTTATTGACGTTATTCGAGGTAATACCCCTTCCCAAGAAAGCTGCAGATGTCCTCGGTCCCAGAGAACATTTAATTTCCGGGACGGGAAGCATCACCCTGGATGGATGTCGAGCACAGAGCCCATTTGACGAAGCTTGTGCATGAGGTTAATGCTTCTCCGCTGGAAGTAGTCAGTTTAGTAATACCATACCTCAATATTGTGTTAATTCAGTTACTTGCAGAAGGCATAGAAGACGTCTATGACATGTCATGGCAATTCGCCGAGTCGAGGTCAGAATTGTTGATTCAGCACTTCTGGTTTTGCACTTGTCGAGGCCTGAAACGTGCGGACATTGTACGGCCCGTGACCCTACTAGAAGAATATAAGTACCCTACGGTCAATCATGTCTCTTCAGTTCCGACTGCAATCCCGAAGGTGAACACTCTCTGCGACTCTATTATTTGCAACCACTCACCTACTTGACTTCACTGCAGCTCGTCCTCACCGTTGGAATTTGAACTCTTGCACCGCGACGTCCTCATCCCTATCAGGTTTGGCATCACTCCAGTACTTACATCTGTTATTGCGATGCTGACTGCTCCTCGTTGTGCTTTAGTAATGTCATACACCATCACCGCTCGCAAGGTTGATGTCTCCACCATAGGCTTCTTCTTCGTCGAGAAGACTGTTTGGTACTTCGCCGGTGGAGGGACGTGGTCCGATACCAACGGCATACAGACCCTCGCCATGCCCGGCAGCGGCACGTCCGGCGGAATCCGCGTCGTCAGCAGCGACGGTACCGAGGCGTTCTATGTCGCCGTTGGGATCCACAACTACAAGCGCTGGTGCGACGTCGTGACCGACATCACGGACAGCGACACGTCGATGAAGCTGCACCCGCAGTACTACGAGTCTGGAGAGCGCGCGGCGATACGCGAGAAGCAGCTCGCAGAGATCGAGAGGACGAGCAAGAAGGGTACAAAGATTGCGGTGAAGTATCTCTCGCAGCAGGACAACGCCTTCCTCGTCGATATCGTCGTCTCTTGAGTCGGTAGCGGATCATCTTTCTTCGAAGTCTTGTAATACAAATGTAAGCCCGCCTTGTTACCGATGTCGTTTTGCCCTGTGTGATACCGATATGCTCCGTCTATTGCCGCGTCAATAACTGAGTTCAAGTCTCTCTGCGACGCACCTAAGCAAGCCGTGTGGGTCAACGGTTGGGTTCCGATTGAGGTTCGGATGCGCGTGTAAATACGCTGGGTCGCACATAGCGTACGTGCTACAAATGGCGAATTGTGAGGGACACAACAGCTGTGAGTCCATGCCAAAGCTCTACGATAAAGTCTTGAGATACGTTGACGGTCTTTCTAAGTAGCTATAGTGACTTACCTCCGAATTATAGACATATGAGTGCGCGCGGATCAACAAAACAGAGATAGCATACTACGTACCGTCTGAATCACGCTACCGATTCTCACTCAACAGACTTAGGATGTACTAGTCTGATGGAAAGCCTGTGGTCAGTCCTGGTCGATACCTGCATTCGCCAAGGGATCTTGAGTGGGAAGACAGTCAAGATTCGGCCACCAATACCGTAGACAAATAAACATGTGAGTTTGGTCTTGCCTCAATATATGTAAATAAAGTGGAATCTGACAAGTCCGATATGGTGTAGTGGCTAACATTATCGCCTCTCAGCAAATAACTGGTCGCGATAGCCCGGGGTTCAATTCCCCGTGTCGGAATATTTTTCATCGTAATGTTTTTGGAGTGTTCGTCAAGATGAACATTTTGTTGTGACGGTCCTCTATTATAAATGCATTTCGAATCCGAAATTTTGCAGTTGAATTTCTATGGGGAGAACAATGCATGAACTTGTAAGGTGCCGAGTCACTGAGCTGCTCGGTTTCAGTATTTCAATTCCCGGAGCTGTGATTGGCCAGGACATACATACTCGCCTTCCTGATGCGGATGCGGGGATAATCGGTCCATGCGCACGTGATCGGCCTCGGACAGTCGTTGCGCCGACTGGCGTGCAGATGAGGCCAACATCGACGCCGACCACGACTGCCACCATGTCTCTCTCTCTCGTTTCCCGCACCGCAGTGAACAAGCGTATCGCGGTGGTGTTTTCCCGCCAGGCATCCCGGCCACTTGCCCTGCATGGTGCGTCTGGTCGCCGAATGTAGCGCTCACATATACCGATGTCTCTTGCCTTGGCGTGTCCTTTCATTTGTGCAAATGACATACCGCGCCGTCAGTTCGGGGGGTGTCTGACGCTGCATACGTTCCGGGCGGCCGTGAGTACAACCAATAATCTCTACGCCTAGTCTCATCGTTCTTTAGCTATCTACAAGGGCACTGTGAACGACCCCACCACCTTCCCGCCCCCTTCCAAGACTCACGGCTCGTATCACTGGGCATTCGAGCGCCTCCTCTCTGCGAGCCTCGTTCCGCTCACGGTCGCCGCGTTTGTCACGAGTGGTAGCGCCTACCCCATGCTCGATGGCCTGCTTGGCGTGAGCCTCGTCATGCACAGTCACATCGGGGTGCGTTTGCTTCCCATTGTGTCCCTATCTGTCCGCGATGGGCATGACTGATTATGGGAAACGCCCTCTGCGCTGCAGTTCGACTCCGTCGTCGTTGATTATCTGCACCCGCGCAAGTTCCCTATCCTCGGCCGCATCGCGACGTGGACTCTCCGCACTGCGACAGTCACCGTCTTGGTTGGCGTGTACCAGTTCAACACAAATGACATCGGTGAGTGCTGCTGTTTCGCTGTAGTTGATCCTGGGATAGGCACGGTGCATGACGTCGGTACAGTGTGACGCGTTGCACCTGACTGGGCTCGCCGATGCCGTGAACTTTGATTCATTTGTTTCGCCTGGGGTTGCAGCGGCGATAGTCTCCAGTTGGACGTTGAGCCGTCCATGATTGATGAGATTTTCCTATCTCCTCGTGTACCAAATGGAGCATGTGTCTTTCAGCAGAATGGGCCATGTTTTTCTTGTGCTTGACCTCTGAGAGATGTTGGATGGCACCTATTACAGGCGTTAATTCAGGATATTGCTTGTCTGTCGCCTTCGTGTATCGCATCCTCACTGATGTACTGGTTGCATACAGGTCTCACTGAGCTCATTGCGAAGGTCTGGAGTGCGTGAGCTATACCAGGAGAGGTTTGATTCGGCCGAGGTTGCGCGTCGAGGAGCTGAGCGTTGGCCGAGGTTCACCTACAGATGCATCCGTGCGTGTAATATTGTGTTGTTAGAAAGCATCTCGCAGAAGCTCCAAGGACATGCAGCTTTCTTCAGAATATGTTTGACCCGCCATAAGGGGCCAGACTAAATCCATCTAGGAGACATTAATATCTCCGGCAATGTATGGGATTTGTGTCGAGCTTGACATGTATGAATGCTTGGTGTTGTCTTTGCATCGCAGTGTGACACGCATACTTTGTCTTTCTGAGTCCAGACATGCATACTAAGGAGCTCTGTAAATTGTATGGAGTAGATGATCCTGTTGAAATGCCACGCTAGTCTGAGAGGCGTATCAACTTTGAATTATACTTATATTCCAATTGCCTAGATCTCACCTTTGCGCAGATAGGTCGACCTTGAACCTTGTCAAGGGTGCATCAATTGAGGAGCGCCCGCCGCCGGGTCCGATGATGATCGCGAGCAAGATATCTGCGGTATCGTTCAGGCTGTCGCTGTGCCGCAACCATCTCAAGCTGGTACATAGCTTGAGGTCGACAGCATGCGCGTCGTGGCGGTCACAGTCCCCGTCAACGAGCCTACCGCCAGCCCCCAAATAACACACGCTCAGCTCTTCGAGGGCCTCAAGTTCAAGACACGCGACGCGACGTGAGCCTCCTAGTAGCCGCTTTCCCGCTCATCCTCCTCACAGCCCTCAATTGCATTCGCCTAGACGCTTCGCCTCCACAGTCACAGCGTGCACTATACTCGAGGAGCACCCCACCGGCCTTCTGCGCGAGATTAAATTCATCGATGCGCCCCAGCCTGTCCGCGAGCGTATCGAGTTCTTCCCGCCCTCCCTGGTGTGCTCCGCTGCCCTGTACTGTCACTGCCTCGCTCACAGTGGCGCATCTCATGCGCAGGTACATGCAGACGTGTTCGATCTCGACGGCGCTCCGCTGGGGCACATCACGAACCTCATCAGCACTGCCCCTGACGGTGGCCTCCTCTTGACTTTTTCTTTCGTCCTCGGCCCAAACGGGCCCCTCGATACCGGTACTGAAGCCGAGGAAGAGGTACGCAGGACCTCTGCGTTGACGTTTGAGTCGATCCAAAACATCCTCAACGCCGTACGTGAGCTTGTCAAGAGCGGAGAGATTCCGTAGGAGCGATCCATGAATCTGTAGTTCATTTGTGTAATACATTACCTGCCAGTGCGCTAATTTCCTCTCTTGTATGTCTTCCTACCGTCGGCTCATGGTGCCCAGTTAGCTAATTGTACATATTCATGAGCCAACGGATATATATGCGTTGCACGATTGCGAGTCGATGTCGTCGCCAGTCTTCGGCAGTTGGGGCACAGTCACTAGCCAGAACGTACTGCGAGGTCCTGGTTAAGCATGCCATTGAAATGCACCGCAAGTGTGCAGCAAACTTGACTCGCCTGTCCCGGGCCCATATGTACATGGCCGATGGGTGTTCTCCGCGGAATCTGTCGCCTTGGGGTGCTGGTTGCACGAGGCCAGCCAATCTTCTCTCCAAGCACTATATTCACAAGAGGCATGCAAGTGCAGAGTGCCGGATATGTTTTATAACGGACTACCAAGAATTGAAGTTGACAATTAACAAAGTGCGCGTGTCCACGTGCCTACGTGACTGTGACGTCGCGCGCCCCGCGGCCGTGGACAGAAACGGCTTGAAGCCGCACAGCCACCTGCACAGTACTCACTCCTCTTCGTAACCACAACAACACCAACTAATTAACCCTTTCCTATTCACTTTCATCACTCTCCAGCTTTCCAATCTCATGAGTACGTTCATGTCACATCTGCGAGGCGGTACGGCGCACTAACATATTCAAAATAGTTGCGTCTCACACAGCCAGCCTGTATCTGGCTGCAGCGCTCTGGGCGGCCTCAGCTTTGCCAACAGCAAACGCGTACTGCTATATCGACCGGTAAGCGTCTTGCTCTCCTGCAAGTTCACTTCTGACCTATGCAGGTTTGGAAATGAGCGATGTACTATGTCTACAGGAGTTCGAATCGCAATTGGTGTCGTAGTTGGTACGCACCTAGTATTATCAATATCCGTATTCGTCGTTCATCAGCCACACAGCAATCGGTGGAATCCTGGCATTAATAGCCCTTTCGGTGGTCCGCCGGAGGAGAATGCAGCGTGCCAACCTTGCCTACATACCACCCAATAACGCTCCACCGGCGTACCCTCCGCAGGGTCCACCATATGGAAACGGCGGGTTCCCACCCAATACAAACACAGGCTATTACTCGTATACGTCCCAAGCCCCGGGTCAGGGCCAATGGCAGCAGTATCCCCAGTCCGGGCAGGGCGAGTACCCTCAGTATCCTCCGCAGACGCACACCGGCTATGATCCGCAGAGCGGATTCGCCCCGGTAAGTGAATTGTGATATTGACATGCCACTTGCGTCTGACAACGTGCTGCAGCCGCCTCAGCCACCACAGTACTCGCCTCCCGCAGGTCCTCCGCCGCAGTTTGGAGGCAAGGAAGGCGCTTGAGCATGAGAATGGTGGATCTGTGATCATTAATAGTATCCCGGTGGCTGGCTGGATGGGATGCGATTGTATCAACCCTGTCCGATTACCCTGACATTGTAATATCGTATCTACGTTCCTGAGTCCTGACTGCTCGATCCAGGGGCGAAAGAGGACGAGCTTGTGCAGTACTTGCTTGTGCCAAGAAGGGGCTTTGTATGGTCGGTGTGACAACGAGCGTCTGACTGCCGGTCGCGCCTCGGTTACGAGGCAACTGTTCTGAAATTGCCCTCACCCCGCCCCTCGCCCGCACGACCGAGCGCACGGCTTCCACTCTCTTGCGACTTGATGCCGAGTCTATTCTCTCGTTCACGCACAACTTCTACCCCAAAGAAATTTCCTCTCGACCCTTTCGTCGACGACTTTGGTAGGATAACCAGCAGGGGCTCTGCCCGCGGCGCCCTCGTGGTACAATCGCCGCAGGGCACGGTCAAGAAAGACAAGAAAAAGGACGCAAAGGACAAGGACAAGTCCCGTCCCAAGGCCCCCTCCGATGGCGCAGATCCCGACGCTCAAGAGTTCGCCATCCCAGACGGCGCCTTCCTCTCCCTCAGTCTCGAGCCGCCTCGCTTCGAGACAAACGACCCACCCGGCGAGCCCCGACAGATTCACGACTATGGCTACCTCTCCTACGGCCGCCACGTCATTCTAGGCCTTGAGCAGGCTGCTCGCCTTGTCGATGTCGTCGGGAACGAGCTTGGCACCCGTGGCCTTACGACACCTTTTATCTTTTCTACCCTCGCCCTTGACGTATCTTCTGCTGCTGTGAAACGACTCATTCAAGCATTTCTCAAGACTTGTGCAAAGCCCTCCGCAGAGGCAGACCGACAGTGGCGGGAGGAGGCGCGCTTCGCAGGCCCGAACGAGCTCGGTATGTGTCTGCGGTGGGGGCTGGCACGAGTCGTGCGCATCGTGCGCGGCCAGGAGGTCCGCGGCCTGGTCTCATACGACAATTATATCCAGTGGCGAAACGACGAAGC